GTTCTTTTATAACCAGATTAAATATGGCTATTTCATAGAGTTGTTTTATTCACATATTTACCATTCTCTTTGCTATGTCATCTCACCTCTTCAATTCCCTAAGACCATTTTTGTTTCTTCCTGAAGTACATCCTTTAGAAATTCCCTTAAATGTAGTTTATTGGTAGTAAATATTTAATTTGCTTTCTCTGAAATATCTTTATCTTGCCACTGTTCTTGAAAGATATTTTGATGACTAGGAAAACTCTAATTTGACAGTCTTGTTTTTCAGTACATTGAAAATATTCCACCATTTAATGGACCAGTTGTTGAAAGTCATTTTCAATCTATATTGCTCCTTTGAAATTAATGTCTTATCCCTGGTTGCTTTCAAATTTCTACTCTGTTTTTGGTGTTCTTGGTGTTCTTTCATCTTCTATCACTATGATGTTTTTAGATATGGATGTCTTTTTTTTTAAGATTTTATTTATTCATTTGACAGAGTGAGTACAAGCAGGGGGAGCAGCAGAGGGAGGAGAAGCAGTTTCCCCACTGAGCAGGGAGCCCGATGTAGGGCTCGATCTCAGGACCCCGGGATCATGACCTGAGCTAAAGTCAGATGCTTAACAGACTGAGCCACCCAGGCACCCCAATATGGATATCTTTTTATTTACCTTGCTTTTAATTCATTTGGATTCTTGAACCGGGGCACATATTTTTCATCAGTTCTCAATAATTTATTCTCAGTCATTATTTTTTCACATGCTATCTCTGCCCCATTCCCTCCTGGAACCCATTTAACGTGTATATTAGATCTCCTTATGCTTTATCCTTCATGTAATATGATCTTTTAGATTTTTTCTTTTTTCTCTATGGACATTCTGTGTAATTTCTACAGCCAATTTTCTTTTAAACCATATCTTTTCTAATTTCGATATTTTCACTTCTAGAAGTTACTTTTCAAAACTTGTCAATTATTAGTCTTGTTTCATTATATTTCTAATTACGTTTTTTTAAAACCACTGAACATAATTTATGTTGTATTATGGTATCTCAATTGTGAGATACCATAATTTTTGTTGTTTACAATTTTTGCTCTCACTTTGTGTGTATGTGTGTGTGTGTGTGTTCATTGTGAACTCATGTCCCTTGGCACCTTATCTGAGGAAACTTCTAAAGTCTGGGATGCTTCTATCAGGCACCTGAAGGTAACCAGTCTGGAACTCATTTCAATCAGATTCTCTACTTAACTGTTTTGACTGCCAACATAGTGTGAATTCAAGCCCCATGTCCATGTAAATGTGGACCAGTAGATAGGAAATCGAGAGATTTCTTCCCCAGAATCAAAGCTGAAACAGGCATTCCCACTTTCTCCCTCTGCAGAGTAGGGTTTTCCCTAATTCTATCACACAAGCGTCCTGCAGGAGTCCTAACTTCATGCAAGGATTAGTGTTCAATTTACCATCTTGATTGTTGCAAGGCTTTGCCTTCTGCCCCATATGCCTACCCTGGCTACTAGGGATCAGCAGGTAACTGAGGGAAAACTACTGGGCTCCAGTCCTCAATTACCCTTCTGAGTTTATGTTTATCATCATTTCTGGCCTCCAAAGTTTTTAATTTTGCCTTCTGCTCAGGGTGTGTGTGTGTGTGTGTGTAATACACTCAATGTTCTTAGCTGTACTGCACCTGGAGGATAAGTGTAGTACACTACACCACTGAAAACAAAAAATTTCTATTTAACTTTACTTACTAGAAGTAATTACTTCTCTTAATCCAATAGATTTGGGTATTGAGAGAGAAGGAAAATGCATGGACTTGAGCCACAAGTATAATATGGGTAAAAATCTAGTACTGCAAATTCATTCTTATCCCTCTTCATGTAGCCGATTAAGCTCCAGTCACAGCAGTGATAGTGGCTTGATTCAGCTACTCAGGTCTCCCTGAGCCTGTTTCTTTTCCAATCTGTAAAATGGCAATGATTTTAACCCCTCTCAAAGTTCTTAGAAGGATTTAAAAAAAAAAAATTCTTAAAAGGATTAAATCATACATGTAAAAACTCAGCTCAGTGTCCAGTACTTAAAACACTTAACAAATACCAGCTATGGCTATTTTCAAAAGCTTCTCTCTCTAATCTTGCCTGGTTAATTGTCCAAATTAGCTTTAGAATGATTTTTTCAATTTCTAAAGAGAATTCTTTTGGAATTCTGACTAAAAATAATTTTGGTTGAAATAATGAAGTAATTTGGGGAGATCTGACATCCCAACAAAATCAAGTTTCTTCAGCCAGCAACATGATGTATGTCTCCATTAAGTCTTCTTTGAGACCCTCAGCAAAGTTTGACAGTCCCTCATTTAGGTTCTGAACATTTCTGTTATGTTTGTTTCTTATTTTATATAAGTTTAAGTTTATTATATATACTATTAAATATGTTAAGTAAAAATAATTTCTAATTAGTTATTGCTGGAATATGTAAAAGCTTTTGCTTTCTATATGTTTATTTTACATTTGGATATCTTGCTTAAGTTTTGTAAAAATCCTACAGTTTCTAGGTAAACACATCATCTGCACATGATCTTTTTATTCTCCTTTCCCAAAGTTACACTTCCTCAGTGGACTCCTTTATTCCTCATCTTAAGCATGTATATAGTGCTTCATAGTAAATTTGTTATTGATTTCATATTCCTTTAAGCATACTGTAATAAGTTTTATCAGAGATGTAAATTGAATTATACCATTTTTAGGTATTTATTAAGATGACTGCATGGCTTTCCTCCTTTAACTCTAAAAATACAGTAAAATATATTTTTCTTTTTAAAAATTTTTTATTTAATTAACATATACTGTATTATTAGTTTCAGAGGTAGAATTTAGTGATTAAATATATTTTTTCTACCAGAAAGCTAACCTTGTATTTCTAGAATGCATGCTAGCCTATGTGGTCATGGATTGTTCTGATGATGAATGGTTGGTATTGATTTGCCCAGAATTCTTTAGACTTTTCAATCTATTTAATTCTTTCTGACTTCCTTTGACAATTTTTGGTCCTGGGTTCACGCTAATTGTATAAAATGAGTTAGGATGATTTTTCTATATTCCGGGACAATTTACATAGCTTTAAATATTTCCTCCTTGAAATGGAAATTACAATTTGCCTGAAAAACACCTGGATTTGATGTCATTTTTAAAAAGAATTCATCCATAATTCATCAAAGACTTCAATGATTTTCTATTGCAGATTTCTTGGTAAGCTGTTTTCTAGAAAATAGTTCATTTCATCCAGATTTTCAAATTTATCAGCAGAGGGTAATACAGAATTTATAATTTAAAAACACACCTTTATTTATTCTAATAAATATTTTTGTTCTTTACAAGTTTCTGGCTTTTATTTTTTGCTATGACTATGTATGTTTTCTTCTTCAGTGTTCTGAGAATATTTATCCTGCCTTTAATTTTAATAGTGACCTTGACATTTTCCAAAAGCATTCCTTTATCCTTCATTTCTCTAATTGTCAAAGTTAATTTTGAAATGGAACATTTTGACTCTATTTCTGATGAAAATATACAAAATTTTACCTACTTGCTCCTCCATCTGTACCTCAATCTCAGGGCCCCATTCTCAGTTTACCCAAATACCACTAAATTATTGCTGTTCCCATTATTTATCCTTTTGAAGAATTTAACATTTCACTCCATTTTAGAAAGAGATTTACAACAATTATTTAAATTTATTTATGTTTAAGTGGTTTCAGTTTCACTACAGTCTTTCGGTATGAGGTGGATTTAATAAACCCAATTTCCTTTCATGTCTAAATTGGTCAGAATAATCTAAGTAGATTCTTTTCTCAAGAAGTGGTATAATTTCGGAACACTTACATATCTGAAAATGTCTTTCTTTCATTGTCTTCACCTGTGAAGGCATCTTCACTAGGTATAAATCTTGGATTAAAAATTTCCCTCTCCAAAATGCGAAGGAATGGTTTCCTATCAACTCTTGGCATGGCATGAGGCTGGCTTGTTTTTTCTTCTCTTGCAGGTTACTGGCTTTTGTTTGTTCTTGCTTTTATCCTCATAATTTAATACTTTATAATTTGTGTCTAAATTACAGGATGTGTCTAATTATAAGAATGCTTTTCTCAGTGATTTTTCTGGAACATGATGATTTCTTTGAATCTCTACATGCAGATCTTTCTTTGGTCCCCCCAAATCTTTTTTCAACTCTATCTTTGAACAATGCTTCTGCTCTACCTGTTCTGTTCCCTTTCACAAACATCACACACCCCATGCTAAAGTGCCAACCTTTGTCCTACCATTGGCTGTCCACTTGCTTGCTGGTACCATCTCTAGGTGCTCTGCATTCTGAGAGCTGCTTTGTGTGTGTGTGTGACACTGATTCTGTTTTCTGAAGTGTCTGATGTGCACTTTTGCTTCTGCATTCTTTAGTTCCTATAAGCGTGACCATACTCACGTTAGTCTGTTCTCTTTTTACAGTTTTCTGTTTCCGCTTCACAAATAGCATATTTTCTTATATTCTTTTGAAGAGACGAAAAGTTTCCTGAATATTTCTCCCAGTTTCTGGAAATGAGATTATATACTGACAGAGCATAATTTTATAAGTGTTTAGGACAATGCTCCTCCTCTTTGTTTTGCAGTATTCTGCCCAAAGTCCCACCACCTCTACCTCACCCAGACTTGGGGCTACTTCACTCATCTTTGGCTGTAGCAAGAGATATCCCTGGGTGTTGGGACTAAGATATTTTTGCTTATTTTTCAGTTTTTTTTAAACTTTTGTTGTACATATATACTTTGGTGATAATTATTTTGGAAAAAAATAAAAATAGAAAAAAATTCTTTAAAGTACTCTGTGAACAGCACAATAAAAAAATCAGTTTTTGTGAATCTAGGATCGATACAAAAGTTATGATATGAAGATGGCAAGTTAAAAGTTATGTACTTTTGCTTCTGAAAGGGGAAATTGCTAATATATTAAGAAAGAATGACAACATGATCTAATCCTCTTTCCCACACAAACACCAATTTTATTCCAAATAATCACATAATTTAAAAAATTTCCCTAAAACACTCTTACAAAAAGTAACCCCACTGTCATTAATTCTGGAAATTTCGTCTTGTACATTAGTAAGTACTACCTTAGTTGAACTGAAACAGTCCAAAAATTCCACAGCTTCTATAGATTTCATCTTAAAAGTTAAAACAAAATCTACTTTTCATGATAAATGATGCTACTGATAACTTTACTTGGTGGGTTTTTAGTTACTTTGGTAATTTTTACAATCTTACAAATAAGCAACACACATTATTATTATAAAATAATAATAAGCCAGTCTAATGGCTTGCATTGGAGGTCAAGGAGTTGCATTTTGTCAAACCCAAATTGAAAAGAGTTGAATTTAGGTTAATACAGAGAAAGGCATGCTCTGGATGTGTTGTCCTTTGTAATTCTTGAAGCATCAGATGAATAGTAAAAAGTTCAAAGAGCTTCTTATTACTCCTGTAAGAGAACAAGTACATTAACTTAGTTGCACACTCTCAGGGAGTTTATCTGAAATGACAAGGAGAGATCATTTACTTGTAAATGTGGGCAAATGGCACCTGGTTTCAACATAGTGCAGAACATAGGTTAACTAAAGGATTAATATGCCAAGACAAACAAAACGGGCTTTAGGAGATAAGCTTAGCAGGAGGGGAAGAATGAAGGGGGGGAAACTGGAGGGGGAGATGAACCATGAGAGACGATGGACTCTGAAAAACAAACGGAGCTAGAGGGGAGGGGGGGGGGGGGAGGGTTAGCCTGGTGATGGGTATTAAAGAGGGCACGTTCTGCATGGAGCACTGGGTGTTATACACAAACAATGAACCATGGAACACTACATCAAAAACTAATGATGTGATTTATGGTGATTAACATAACATAATAAAAAAATTAAAATTAAAATAAAGTGGAAAAGTATTCAAGGAAGACGAGAATATGCAGAATATGCTTTATAATACGAAAACTGCACCCTAGTCACCATTAAAATGCTTAAGAATATTTTTTTTCCTCACAGCTAGAAAAAAACAATACTTGATCATCTTAAGTAGCAGAGGTTACCTTTGACTTAGCTCCAAAATACCTTTTCAGCCATCCTCCTTCTAATAATCAGTAATTTCATTTTCAATCATTTAGAATAATATCTGAAATATGTTTCTTATTTCCTTGTCTCCATGTATTTATCTCTTGAAAGAGATTATCGAATAACCTATGTAACCACCCACTTAATACAAAACGATTCATTAACATCTCTGTGGTTTTAAAGCTTTACTTTAAGACCTTCTTGCACATCAGCTATTCCCAGCCCTCCTGCTGGAGCTTTGTTCTAGCTCTCCAATCTGAAATGAATGTAAGCTATAACACACATCAAGAACAGTAAAATGCTTTGGCTCAAGGGAGTACATAAAAAAAATCCCACAAATTAAGAGCTAAGACCCAATTAAACCTAAATAATGTTACTGCAGCTTTGTGGTACCACAGGTAAACTGTAACAGGTCTTCCCGAGAATTTACCGGATACAAATCAAGACAACCATGGTACAGTCTGCAAGTGAAGGAAGACAATGAATTGATAAGCTTAACTGATGCCAGTCCAAAACTCGCTGAGATGAGTATGTGGTTACAATTTGACAATAATTTACTGTGGTGGGGTATTGTGTGCTAGGCAGCAAGGAGAACATATGGACCCACTGTCACACACCTACAAATAATTTTAAGAGGTACTGATTATATTTACTATTCAAGTACACCGAGGTCTGGTAAAATACCTAAGTTCACTACCATGCAAATCACAGGTGAGGGGAAAGGGAAGGGGCAGAGGAGCTAAACCAAAACCAAAATTTTACTGTTATAAACATGAGATGAGACAGGTGTTTAATTTGCCTCAAAAGAAACACTAGATGCTACCAAAATTAGGAAGATAAAGCTTAAAATCTATGTCCTTTATAATTTAATAACTGGTTATATCAATGTTTGCATCAGCGGGAATGAAGAAGAAATGCAAAAGGAAAGCCCTTAGTTCTTACAATAAAATCCAAATTAGTGGCATAACAAGCCCATAATTATTTCCTAAAATAAACCAGTTAATAGTTATCATTTTAAATCTCTTCTGCCTGCTTCATTCTCAGTCCCTAAATTCATTTCAATACATCAACAGGATCTGCAGATAAACTTTTAATATCTTTTGTTATTTTCACTTGTGGTATTACAGAGTATCAGTGTGCAGTAATTCACTCTAATACTACCACTTGGTTGCTAAAAACTGCTTTTAGTTTTGCATACTCTGTGGTACCTAAGGTTCGTTTAGCAGAAATGAACTACAGAAACAAGACGTTCCTGGATGAACGCTCTAATTCTCATCTGTCACTGAGTATGTATCTTAGACATGCATTAATACTTCATGAATCTCAAGATTCTACATTTATTGGAACCTGTGATTTAACAAACAAAGTTGAACAAGTACAGGATTCAGAAAGGCCTAAATGATCACAATAAGAGATCTTTCAATAAAAAAATCTTAGAAATAAAAAAAATTCTTACTTGATTTTGGAAAGTTTCTGCAGAATAATACTGAGCTTTTCTAGTATTTGAAGATCAAGCTTAGGGGTTCGAAGCAGCACAGAGCAAGTACGAAAAAATAAAGTGTTGCTACAGGCTTCCAGGAAAGGCTGCAAGGATTCTGCAAAACAAATCACCAGTGCTTTACTGTTAGGGTATAGCTAAAAAGGAAATTAATAACAATTCATAAATATTAATTTGGATTTTCATTCTTTTCATACTTAAACTTTGGAGCAAAAATACCATCATTTGAAAAATTAAAATCTCCACTGGCTCTTGTTGAACAATGCAAAACCAAAGATAAGACTATTTTCCCTAATATCCAACTTCCACTAGGCAGTATTTAGCAGAAATCCCATGTTTGGAAGAATGGGGGAAGATCAGTTCTTCAAAAAATTCATAGCAGTAGGCAGAGTTTAAATAATTAGCAATAAGAAATATTTTGGGGATAGCAAATTTTTAAAAAACCTACATTTAAGAATTTCGTTTGAGTGTTATGACAACATAATCAATGGCTAGGGAATAACTTTTTAAGCACAAAAGTCAAAGGGTGAAAAGATTCATAAAAGGTGAAAAACTTTACAAAATACAAAATTTTAATGTCTATGTAAAAAACAATTACAAAACTTAAAAGGCAAAAGCTCTGAAAGACAAAAGCAAAACAAAAGGGAAATGTCAAACTTGAAGCAGAGGCATTGGGAGGAAATCCCCTTGTAATATATTTGCTAGAAGATTGATACTGTTAAAAATAAAAGCTCTTATAATTCAGTAAGAAAAAGATGGACCTAATATTTTTAGTAATGAACAAAGGGCACAAGCAAGAAATCACGATGGAATAAATATAAAATAAAAATAAATTAAAAATATTCATGAATAATAAATAAATATTCATTAAAAATATTCAACCTCAATAGGAATAAAATAATTGGAATTTGGCAGATTTGTATCAAAAGCCTTATAAGTGGGTATATCCTTCGATTCAGCAATTCTGCCTCTAAAAATGTGTCTGAATCAAATGTATGCAAAGGTTTGAGAATAAGGGCCACAGTAAAGTTTGCAATAGTGAAAACTAAAAGATCTGTTAAAGTGGTTATGAGTTGAACACAATAATGCATAAAAATGTTTTATAAGTTGTAAATCACTAGTATAGGTCATTAGGAAAGCCTGAAAACAAAAGTCATAGAAAAATAATAAATTATGGCTTTTAAAGTAAATTCCTACGTAAAAAGTCTCTGTAAAAATCGGAGGCTCCCACAGTGAATACAGGACTTTATTTCACACAGATAAGTAAGTCAGTAACTACAAAGGACGTAGAAATATGATAGCTTTGTATTCATCATTCTTTCTGAATCCATAAGCACAGCTTAAAAGATTGTCTTTACTGGGTAAAATAAACTATTCAATAATGAAACCAACAAAATCCACACTAGTGGGGCGCCTGGGTGGCTCAGTTGGTTAGGCGACTGCCTTCAGCTCAGGTCATGATCTCAGGGTCCTGGGATCGAGCCCCGCATCGGGCTCCCTGCTTCTCCCTCTGACCCTACCCCTGCCTGTGTTCCCTCTCTCGCTGCCTCTCTCTCTCTCTCTGTCAATTAAATAAATAAAAATCTAAAAAAAAAAAAAAAACAAAATCCACACTAGTAAAGTCAGAGCAACGTTGTGATAACAGAAAGTGAAAGGTGCTACATGCTACCAGTGGACCACAAGGACAGTGGTCACTTGTCCTCTGCGCATTACCACGTAGTAAAAAGTAGGAGGAAAAAACGTAATACTTTCCCCAGAACAGTCTAACCCAAGTACAGACTACACTTAGTTCACCAAAAGTCATGTGCATGTTCGGGTGTCTATGTGCGTGTGCATGTGTGTGTGTGTGCGTGCACATGTATGTATCTCAGTTACAGGATCTTCTTAAAGAATGAAAATGTAGGTTACAAATATAGCACACATAATCTACAAAAAAACATTTTTATTATTATTTTTTTAAGTAGGGTAGGCTCCACACCCTGCATGGAGCCCAACACAGGGCTTGAACTCACGACCCCAAGATCAAGACCTAAACTGAAATCAAGAGTCAGAGGCTTAACCGACAGAGCCACCCAGGTGCCCCAATCTACAAATCATTAAAAATGCACTGACTGAAATTTCAAGCAGCTTCATTAAAAAACTGCACAGTTTTCTTATTTCAGATCCTGAGACGTATGATTTATGTCAACTCTGAACAAGAAAGATAACTATATTGCATGGCTAACAAATTTTAAATCAATGGATAAAGAACAATCATGTAAGTCACTACCAGAAAGTCCACTGAGGTTTCTTAACCCCCCTACAGTCTACAATATCGATCTATGACATGTTGTCAATTTAAAGCCTAAAAAACACATAAAAAAGTTATAATGGTTTTTTGTACAGTTGACCCTTGAACAACTCGAGTTTGAACTACACAGGGCCACATATACACAAATTTTTTTCAATAAATACAGTACAGTACCGGAAATATATTTTTTCTTCCTTATGATGTTCTTTAGCTTACTCTGTTGTAAGAATACAGCATATAATACATATAACATACAAAATATGTGTTAATCTGGGGCGCCTGGGTGGCTCAGTCGTTAAGCGTCTGCCTTCGGCTCAGGTCATGATCCCAGGGTCCTGGGATAGAGCCCCGCATCAGGCTCCCTGCTCCGCGGGAAGCCTGCTTCTCCCTCTCCCACTCCCCCCTGCTTGTGTTCCATCTTTCACTGTGTCTCTCTCTGTCAAATAAATAAAATAAAATCTTAAAAAAAAAAAAAAACAGAAAACCCCAAAATATGTGTTAATCAATGGTTCATGTTATCAGAAAGGCTTCCATTCAACAGCAGGCTGTCAGTAGTTGTTCTTGGGGAGTCAAAGGTTATATGCAGATTT